AATAAAAAATAAATAAAAATATATATATATAAAATGAAAAAATATATAAATTAAAATATAAAATAAAATAAAATGAAAAAATAAATAAAAATAAAATAAAATAAAATATATAAAAATAAAAAAATAAAAAAATATTAAAATATAAAATAAAAATGAAAAAATTTAAATAAACTAAAAAAATTAATAAAAATATATATATAAAATGTAAAAATACATAAATTAAAATATAAAAAAATAAAATGAAAAAATAAAATAAAATATAAAATAAAATGAAATATAAATGAAAAAATAAAATAAAATAAAAATCTTACACTGAGGGAGACAATCAAGCCATATATAGGGACCAAAAAAAATATAAATTAAAATATAAAAAAATAAAATGAAAAAATAAAATAAAATAAAAATCTTACACTGAGGGAGACAATCAAGCCATATATAGGGACCAAAATATCAACGACTTAAGCAGTAAGCAACCGATTAACAATGCCCAATGTGGCAAACAACGCACATTTCTTCAGAAAATCTTTCTCACCTTTCTGAAGATGTTGTCCTCTCCAGTGTCAGGACTGAGAAATCCATCTGTATCACTTCCTGAGACTTCCCGAAATGTGACTGTTTCTGAGTTGCAAGTGTGAAACTCCGGATACTGTGAACTTTCTGCAACAAACACACACAGTTTTATATGATGACAGACAAATGTACAGCATTTACTATAAAAAGCAGTGTGCTAAAAATAGCTTGTGTATCCAGTTAAAGTCTATCATAAAAGTCTCCAAAGTAGTTCTCTTACTGAAGCCCAATGTCCTCTTAAACAAAACATGCGATGTCCTCTTCAGAACAGATCTTTGTACAACGGCACATGTATTCACGACAGCAACATCTGACTATCTTGATAGGAGAAGTACCTGTAGCGTCTGTCAGTACCGTACCGTCGCGTGGGTAACAAAACCAGATCACGTGGGAGACGAAACCATCATGATAAACCTCAACAGATTCCATCACCTAGAAAAATACCGCCTGTTTCCCCTCCCTCTCTCGCTTTCACTTTCTTCTAGTCTTTTAAAGTGCAACACACTCTCTGTATAAGCTTAGTGTAAGTGAAGAGAGTGACTGTGAAGGCTGGGATCAGCACTCGGAGATCTGTCACGAGAGTGTGAGCTTTGTCAGCTGTCACACAACACACAGGTGGCACCATGTTTTGGGATGTGAAGGAGGGGGCTCGCTGAGACCGCTACAGCTGCCCTTTCTTTACGCTCTCAATGCTCTAGTAAAAGCAAACGTCATTACCTAAGCTGCAGATAAACAACTGACAACATAAACACAGGTCATGAAAGACCGCTGAGAAGAAATTCAGCATATTGAATCTACCCAGTTACATTTGGTTATTTTCCGTATGTTTTTGATATGATTCATCGTAATTGTTTTAGATGTTAAAAAATGTCTCCAGTTCCAGTACGTGGAAACTGTAAACACTGTGGCTCTGCTGTGCTTTTAAATAAATAAATAAAAAGCATAAAAATAAAATGAACTAAAATACTTTTTGCAAGTGTATGAAAACAGAAGAGCAAAAAATTTAAAAAGAACAATATGTTTGGCATGTTAATAAAATTAAAATTTTAAAAAATAAATCAAAACATATTTAAAGAAAAATGTAAATTAAATGTTTAAAACATGCATACATTTTTTTAGCTTGGTTTTAAAAACATTGTACTGTGATGACCACTAAATATTGTAGAAACTTCATTTGCCGTAAAGTTGCTTTGCAACGATTTGTATCGTGAAAAGTGCTTTACAAATAAACTTGAATTGAATTGAATTGATGAAACTGCAACCATGCAACTAGAATGTGATTGCCATAATGCAATTTCTCCTGTTCCAGTACCTGGAAGTTGCAATGCAATGCAATGCAATGAAATGAAATTGTTTTGCTGTTTAATAAAAAGGTAAACAATAAATAATAAATAAAATGGAAAAATCAAGCAATAAAAAATTAAATAGAATAATTAATTAAATACAAAATATAATAGAACAATATGTCTAGCATGTTAATAATAATACAATTAAAAATAAATAAAAAAAATAATTTAAATAAAATGTCAAATAAAATGTAATTTTCTTTTTTAGCATGGTTTTAAAAAGACCACACTGTGACAAACCTGAAACCATGCAACGTTGTTAAATGTTGTAAAAATGTTTGATGCTTACAAGGAAGTGATTAATAAATCTCAACCCACTTCCTGCATTTACAAAGACACAGCAGTGATCAGTGATAAAGTTGTGCGTTCAAGACAATCCAGTCAGGGTAGTTTAATAAGAAAAAAAGCAAGCTATATGCCACTTATGTTCACAATAGGTGTAAAAACAACTTTTTGTATGGTTGAAATACACTTTTCATTAAACAGGAAATCTTCGTGAAATCATGTTTGTGGCTTGAATGCATTTTGTTTCGTTTTTATACCAGACACTGTTGGTGTATTAAAGGTGAACAGTCTTCAGAATAGTTACAAGTAAAGATAAACAATCCCTTCATGCTCCTCTATACGAACACTTGCCATTACTATCTTCAGTTCCTCATACTTCCTTAAGAACCTCACTATAAGAAAACAAGACTTTCCTTTCTCGTCTGAAATTAAATGGTTCAGTCTTTGTAGACGCACTCCAGTGTTTACAATGCAAAGTTCTCACCTTCCTGGGAAGCAAGCCAATCATAACCGAAGTCATTTACATACTGTATAGAAGTCTTAAAGGTACAAACATCAAAACAGCCCATTTCATTCTAAGGGTCAGAGAGAGGGTGGAAACGTTTTTATACAAGAAACGGTGGCTAACATTACAGTTTAACTGTATACTGCCTACACAGACAGCATCCTAAGTGTTGAGGAACCTCATAAGCAAGCACACATGCCACACAAAACAGCACTCATCACATGAAGTGCATGAGCGACGTGACTCACAAATGAATCAGAGAGAAAATGACGTTAACATGTTGCCAAACTTACAACATGCGCACAAAAAGGAATACAAATACAATATAAATATATAAAAGCAGTTTGATATAATAAAAAATTAACTGTTTAAAACAATTGTTTGCTATCAAATCTTTGGTAACACTTTACAATAAGGTCCCATTAGTTAATGTTAGTTAATGCAACTAAAATCAACTAACAATGAGCAATTTATTTATTGCAGTGCTTATTAATCTTTGCTTACATATAAAACAATACTGTTTATCATTGTTAGTTCAGATACATTAAATATTCTCAGGCACAATTATTGATTTTAATAATGTATAATTAAATGTTAAAATGAGCATTAACTATGATTAATAAATGCTTTAGAAGTATGTTGTTAGTTTGTTAACTTATGTTAATAAATTTTGAGTGTTACGAAAATGTTTTAGTACTGCATAAAACACACTACCATTTACATTTTTTTTTATTACGTTTTTTTTAGGACTTTTGCTGAACAAGGCTGCATTTATTAGATTCAAAAAGACAGTAAAAACAGTAATATTATCACAATTTAAAATAGTTTTCTATATATATTTTAAGATGAATTTTCAGCATCCATTACATCCATATCACATGATCCTTCAGAAATCATTCTAATATGCTGATTTGATGCTTAAGAAACTTTTCTTATTATTATCAATGTTGAAAACAGTTGAGCTGCTTAATTTGGTGGAAACCTTGCTACACTACCACTGAAAAGTCTGGGGTAAGATTAAAAAATTTATGAAACAAAAAAAAAACTAATAATAATGAGCCATTAATAATAATTGAGTACTAATAATAATAATTGAGCAGCAAATCAGCATATTAGAATGATTTCTGAAGGATCATGTGACACTGAAGACTGAAATAATGGCTGCTGAAATTGATAAGCTAAAATTAAAACCAACTAGATAAATATTAGTATTGAATTACATAACTGACAACATGATATCAGGTCATGGAAGTGTGATCTTACCTGTGGATAAGTTGTGTCTCTTCTGGGAAACACTGGAACACAGTGCGTCTTTGTCTCTGTGGATCTGAGGACAGAAAGAGGAAGATATGGTCTTACGCATGTGACTGTCTAACTGGAAAAAAAGTTGTTTAACATATTCAAAGCAAATATGAACATCAGACTGCATTCAAATTTGATGAGTTTTTTTTTCATTTTCGTTCACTGCTGAAAAGGTCAATGAAACTGAGGGTTTCTAGTGAATGCATAGGCAACAGAAGCAGCAGCTTTGCTCACATACGCTCAAAGACTGCAGCATATGAGGTTAGAGTTCAGTCTGTGGTTTGTGGACCCCATAACAGCTGCATCTCACTCATCACAGACCACACACCACCTCACGCCGGCCCTGAGGGACGACAGCGGCTTCAGCAATCATGATCCAATGCGGAGATGCTCCCCACAAGCCAGACATCCAAACAAACTACTGCTGGCTGGATTCAATCCAATCCATAGAAGAAACAATGGCTGCAATTATAAAACCCAGCTTATAAAACAGATCCAGCTCAAATAAGATAAGCTACATTTGAGTCTGTTGTAAAATAAAGCAATAAGCCAAGAGAGGCTGTGCGCTACAGTGAATTCACTCCCTTAATCTATAGTTAAGTTTAGTTTAAAAAATATTTTTTTTGTTATGTTTATGTAAATAAATAAATACAGGGAGTTATATATTATAGCTTGTTGCAAATGTATTTATTTATTTTTTTGTAAAGAGGAAATTGTGGTAAAAAATAAAAATTAAAATGTAACATTTAAATGAAAAAAAAATAAATATTATTTTTAGCAAATATAAAAAATACATAAAAAAATGGTGGCCAGCAGAAAAAAATCCCTATTGTTGAGCATTTTAAAAATAATAATTATGAAAAAATAATAAACGGTTCTTCCACCAAATATGGTTATTTAAAAAAAAAAATTCTGCAAAGACACATTAAATTGATTAGTATATTGATGAGACAGTAAAGACATTAAGACATGTTACAAAATATTTCTATTTCAAATAAATGCTGTACTTTTTAACTTTCTATTGATCAAAGAATCCTGAAAAATGTATCGTGGTTCCCTGTTTTCAACATTGATAATAATAAGAAATTTCTTGTGCAGCAAGTCAGCATATTAGAATGATTTCTGAAGGATCATGTGACACTGAAGACTGGGGTATTGATGCTGGAAATTCAGCGTTGCATCACAGGAATTAATTACATCTTAAAACATATTTAAATAGAAAACAGTTTTTTTAAACCTTAATAATATTAAAAAATGTTTAGGGCTGTCAATCAATTAAAAATTGTAATCTAATTAAATCACACCCTTTTTATGTGATTAATCACACACTTCATGATATTAAGCATAGACCATTTATCTTGTTTCAAATGTTTATTTTGTCATCATTTGCTATATCCAGCAAAGTAAACCAAAAGATTGAAGTGTGATTCTCAAAAATCTGTATTTTCTGCAAGTTTTTTTCAAGATAAATTTTGATGTCTTTCCAAAAAAGGACACTTAGAAACTCCAAAAGGACATCAAAGAACCAAATGATATAAGGAGCCCATACAAGCACATATGAAAGAAAAAAAATCTGAATTTTATAGTATGTGTACAGTGCAACAGCAAAGAGGTTTTTTTTACATTTTAGAGAAGCCAGGTTGCAATACCAAACAAGCTTGTTGCAAATGTATTTATTTATTTTTTTGTAAAGAGGAAATTGTGGTAAAAAAAAAAAAAAATGTAACATTTAAATGAAAAAAAAATATATATTATTTTTAGCAAATATAAAAAATACATTAAAAAAATGGTGGCCAGCAGAAAAAAAATCCCTATTGTTGAGCATTTTAAAAATAATAATTATGAAAAAATAATAAACGGTTCTTCCACCAAATATGGTTATTTAAAAAAAATAATTCTGCAAAGACACATTAAATTGATTAGTATATTGAAGAGACAGTAAAGACATTTACAATGTTACAAAATATTTCTATTTCAAATAAATGCTGTACTTTTTAACTTTCTATTGATCAAAGAATCCTGAAAAATGTATCGTGGTTCCCTGTTTTCAACATTGATAATAATAAGAAATTTATTGTGCAGCAAATCAGCATATTAGAATGATTTCTGAAGGATCATGTGACACTGAAGACTGGGGTATTGATGCTGGAAATTCAGCTTTGCATCACAGGAATTAATTACATCTTAAAACATATTTAAATAGAAAACAGTTTTTTTAAACCTTAATAATATTAAAAAATGTTTAGGGCTGTCAATCAATTAAAAATTTTAATCTAATTAAATCACACCCTTTTTATGTGATTAATCACACACTTCATGATATTAAGCATAGACCATTTATCTTGTTTCAAATGTTTATTTTGTCATCATTTGCTATATCCAGCAAAGTAAACCAAAAGATTGAAGTGTGATTCTCAAAAATCTGTATTTTCTGCAAGTTTTTTTCAAGATAAATTTTGATGTCTTTCCAAAAAAGGACACTTAGAAACTCCAAAAGGACATCAAAGAACCAAATGATATAAGGAGCCCATACAAGCACATATGAAAGAAAAAAAATCTGAATTTTATAGTATGTGTACAGTGCAACAGCAAAGAGGTTTTTTTTACATTTTAGAGAAGCCAGGTTGCAATACCAAACAGGACCACATGAAGATGCCAAAAAAAACTAAACCAATCGCCTGCTGACTGCATTTATCTACTACAGTACACGGATCCATTCCGTATAACTAAACACAGCAACATAAATATGGCAAATCAAAACATTATCGTGAATGTGCATGGAAACAACGTGAATGTACGGAAATGTCTGTGACTGAAAATTTTTCCAGAGTTTAGTGGCTTAAAATGATCTGATCGCAAGCAGAGAAGCAAAATTGGGTTAAAGTGTTAGAATAGAAATTGTGCTTTTTTGTGCCAGTTTCAGTCTGTATTATACTAAAGAGGCCCAATAAATGTCATGCCTGCTTGCCTACTATACATCAGCTTTTGATCTGAGGAATTGAAAGGGTGAATACATACAGTCTATTGGAAATGTTTACACAGATCTCATGTTACGGCCAGTACTGCTACTGAACAGCATCCTGTACAAAGCACCCACAATAGAAAGCCTGTATTAAAGCGACCTGCACCGCTGATGGTTATTCACCCGGCTGGAAAGCACACTGAAAAGCTCTTTTGCCTTTGTTATAACCCAGCTACAGGGTCACCCAGGTGATGCAAGATCGGACGGGGGAGAAAGACGGCCAACAATGGATCCCTAGGAGAAAAACGTGAAGAACGAGAGAAATGGCTTCTGATTTGACCCAAGAGCAGTTCACGTTTCCATCCTGGCCAGGGACTAATTATGTTCACACCCTCAAAAACCAAGTGGCCGTGCACAGTTTTAAAGCAATTAACAATGCACAACGCTCCATTGATGAGCACGTCCATGCCAGAGCTCTGACTATCCACTGTGTGCCTCTGGGAAGGAACAAGGCAGTGGAGAACACTGTCGTCTGTTGTCCCAAACACAAGCCCTGCTTAGAGAACAGGCCGGAGAGCACAAACACACACTCTTTGGGTTATCCGTACAGCAGTTCCCATCATAGTGAGTCGTTGATATCACACATCCACTGCCACTGAAACTCCAACAAAGATTAAAGAGATTATAAATGAAAAGAGCTGTATTGTTTAAGCATAAGCGGTAGAACTCTAAACGAGACGTACAGCTGTCAGACTGTGAGCGAATAGGTTGAGGGTTTGTTTAATTATAAAGTGTATGAGATGTTTTCATTGGATGAATGAATCCCTTCTTTAGCTTTGTTCACACTAAAATCAGATCCTTTTGTCCAGGGGAGTCAAAGACGGCACGCATGAGATCAAATGTGCGAGATGATTTGAGGAAAAATATTAATAGTAAATGATGCACAAAACAATTACATCCATTTGTGGTTGGTAAGATTTTTTTTATGGTTTTGAAAGAAGTCTCTTATGCTTAGAAAGGGTCCATTTATTTGAGAAAAATACAGTAAAAACATTAATACTGTGAAATATTTTGACAATTTAACATAACTGTTTTCTATTATAATGTGTACTTCATAATGCAATTTATTTCTGTGATGCCAAGCTGAATTTCAGCGTCATTACTCCAGTCTTCAATGTCACATGATCTTTCAGAAATCATTCTAATATGACGATTTGCACTTGCTTAATATTTTTTTCAAAACCAAGATACATTTTTTTCCATTCTCTAATGAATGCAAATTCACAAGAGCAGCATTTATTTTTAGAATTTTTGTAACAGTGTAAAAGTCTTGCCACTTTTGATCAATGTAACACATCCTTGCTGAACAAAAGTAATCATTTCTTACTGACCTCAAACTATTAAGCTCTTAGAGTGTTCTGTTGCATTTTTAAGTAGTACAAAAAAAAACTTTATGCAGAATATATTAATAGTGATCCAATGTATCAAAATAACTGAAATATGGCATATTTAACCTATAACACTTCATTAGACATAATGCACAAATATAAAATGCAATGCAATCGCATTCAGTATGTACAGTAACAGAGACTTTGTTTCAAAAAGCAACTCCGTGAATAAGGAAAGGGGACTAAAAACCAAACCAGCTTGAATATAAAATAAACATTTGCATCTCTAACTGCCACTGAGCTATACGTACGCAAAAGAGACAGACATTTAAATATATAAAACAAGACTGATATAAGAGGCATTTACACTCTTAAGAATATCCATCCATCTATCTATCTATCTATCTATCTATCTATCTATCTATCTATCTATCTATCTATATGTCTGTCTAAAAAAGAATAACATCAAACACAAAACTGCATGCTTACATGTCAACCACTATATTTTGTGATGCTCTAAAGCTGCTTCAAACCGCTCTCCATAACACAGGCCCAAACCCTGAAGTCTGTTCAGAGCCAAACATGGCCCAGTGTCCCTTTCCAGAATCTGGCACCGCTGCCATTCTCACTGCATATTTGCGGCGCTAGGGGAGCAACCAAAAAGGCAGTGCCAGC